CAGATCGAGACTTGTACAGCCTACAACCATAACCTGTCCCCGAGACAGTTTCAGCATAATGTTATGCTTACTGACCATTTTTGATGCAGATGAACTGGAACATTTCTGCTGACAGTTTCATCGGGAAATGTCTTACTGGTTTATGAATGAGCTTCGACAATTTTCTGTCGATTAATGAGTATGCAATATTAACATACACAGTGCAACGCGCTAATAAAGGAGACAATACCAGTTGCAAAGATGGACTAACGCCAGCAATTATTCAGTGTTGTGTATATCCACAGAGCCGTCTGAAGGACCCACAAACATTACAGTTACTTCTCGGATGCGGCACAGCATTGTATTCGCTTGGAGTGAAATACCTTGTGGTCACAGACATGGCCAAATTCGGGATTACCAGGTGAGACGGTAATAGTGCGTGTATACTCAGTCTTATAACAGCACAAAATCTGCAGGTTTTTTATTCTCATTTCATTAAGCTTTCGTTTTTATTCACATCAGTATTAAAAACAAATGTGTTCGGATATGTCTCTGAGAAAGTTGACTTCCAAAATTTTATGGAGGAGAGGAAAGGTTTCTATTTTCATACTTTTATACTGAAACAATGAACAATCTGCGTTGTTAATTCATCCCCGTAATTTTGCATTGTATACATATTTTACATGGCAGTCTTCAACATACACATTTCTTTCAAACTTTGCCGTCATGTTCAACCCATTCTGCCTGGAAGTGATTGCATATGCATTACGCTGCACGCACATATATGAACAACGGTGCGAGGTTGGATTTAAGACATGCATACGTCGAAAGTTGGCGAATTATGTTATTTTAGAATTTTATACTATATCCACGATGATGGATTTCGACTGGAGCTCGCAGATGAAACGCGACTATCCAAGGACGTTTCATCAAGTCTACCCATCCAGTTGCTAAACTTTATTGTCTGTAAGTTATGATATGGAATGCTTGGAATATCTTGCAGCTGCGTGTCGTAAATGTACTTTGGATGTTGGTTTGCTTTCAGACAAGGCTCAGGGCACTGGAAAAGCCATATGATTTGGCGTTTACGCCCGCTGATACCTATGAGACTGTCAACGTCTCGCCCTCCTCTATGTTATACGCTAGTGACGTGTTAGAACCAGCAACGAAATACGAGTTTCTGGTCGCTGGCGTTAACGAGCATGGAGCCGGAAAGTGGGCACGGATCGAGGCCTTCACCACCGTGGAAACGGGTACAGTCATACTGTCTTAACCGAGAACACTTTCAAAGGGACTTTTCAAACATGTATTGGCAGTATTGTTATAATGTACAGTTTGCATAAACTGTGGCGTCGCCGCCCCAAGATTTTGCATGGAAATCGGGACCTTTTACGCGCCTGCATGAAATCAGCTACATTGCCAGTTGAATTGGATAGCTTAAAATATGAGCAAGTTTGACGAGAATTCTTACAAGAACCATAAAGAAACTATATCAGCACATGCTCATTGTAATACAAAACTGGTCCAAACTGCTTGGAGACTACAGTGATCTAAAATACAAATCACAAAATATGGAGGGCCTATTGATCCTAGCAGAATCTTTCTCAGAGGCAAAGGATGTCAGGCCTTCCTTATTTTGTGAAAATGCACATTGCTGGAGCGTGGAGAATAAAAAACTGTAAACTTTTAAACTTTTCCACAAAAACCGCTTGGTGTTACATTGAGGTTTTAATTTTTCTCAACAAATACCGTTTTGTTTTATGGTTAGGCACCATTTGAGATTAATAACTGAGTCAAAAGGAATTTGTCAGTGTTTTATTATTGAAAGTATTGTCATTTGTCTTTGCTGTGTGAAGGAATGGACCCGCCTCCTAGGCCATCCAGCGATCCCTCAAAATCAACCAATTCGACAGTTACCATCAACGTGAAGTTACCTTTACGGTCGCGGTACATAACGTAAGTACACGGGGAGTTCCATCAAAATTTAAAATTTAGGGTTCGAATGAGAGGTTCCCTCTCCTTGAAACTGTCTTGAAATTGTCATACACAGCAAGAACTGAATTTTCATTGTTGGTACGTTAATGGCTGGACATCCCCAACAAAACACAACCATTAAACATGTATTATACAAGTAATGAATGCTTACGAGTGTTGTGGCCTTATGGAGCAAAACGGTCTGTGGATTCGTGAATTGTCTTGTCTTGTCTTCTTTTGTTTTTTTGGTACTCACCACAGACATTATTATAAACGCATATGTCTGAGGTACTCACCGCATAGGCACGCAAGTGTATGCGCATTTGACATGGAGCACGCTGAGTACGCGTAACTAATTTACTCCGGCATATGCGGTCTTAGCCTTTGATCAAGGCGCCCGCTGCGAAATGGATAGTCAAGACCACACGACGGACTGCATGCAAGCTCTTGAGCGACTATCCATTTTGCCGCGGGCGCTTTGATCAAATGCTAGTGTGGTCTTTGCGTACACACAGAACGTTGCAAGAGCCCGCTTGTTACCACCTGTCTTTCTTTTCGCCGATTGGGGGTGCACTTCAACTCGGGGCACATACAAATTTGAAACATTCATTATTGAATTTATACAACACCTATTTCATTTGGGTAACTTAGACTATGAGCAATTTTAGGGAAAAAAATGGAAATTGGAATGTCTAGTATGGAATGCTAGTACACTTGTGGTCAGCTATAATCATTATTATTGACAAGTGGGGTTCATTTGTTATAAGGAGAAAATGTGAAAATGCATAGTACTAAGCGAGCGAAAACGTCGTAACGGTTGTGCATGTACCTGTCCATTACACCCGTCACTCCAGTGCGCGATTGTATATGGGCCTCATCGGACTGCTCAGTGCATGCAGGTAGATGGCAAGTCCAACTTTGCCAACTATTTGCGTCTTGTTAGCGCAGGCCCATTCGGAAAGCCATGGATATGTCATGAGAAATACATGTACAAACCAAGATAACTGGCTGGACTCAATAATTCATCAACTTCCTCACATTTTGTAATGTCTTTGGGACTAATTCCTCATTTATTGCAGTGGCATCCAAATTGGTGTGAAGGAGGTCTACTCAGATAGAAAAATGGAAATCTTGACAACCAAACGCCCAGCCGACTTCACACCAGATTATGTAGCGGGAGAACTGAGCAAAGCGGACCTCGAAGAAACATTTACCGTGGGTGACGGGCATACGTATGGTGCATTCCATAACCAGCCTCTGCACCCTGACACGGAATACGACATCTATCTGGGTTCAGTGAGCAGGGTTTCAGACACAGTAAGGGACAGAGTGAGAATTACACATGATTTACTCTTGTGTCCAAGCAGTTCAACTTTTTATTTTAATTATGAGAGAGAACCCCTTTACAAGTCTCTACCCATACGACGTCCGGAGTTTTCAAGGCATTCACTAAAATGGAGATATTTATAGTGTTAAAGGAAGAGTGTCTTGATCAGACCCAAATGGAAAAATGTACTTAGATCATCGCTACGGGATTAGTTAAGCATGAATAAAGAACAAAATGGAAACCACGAAGCACAGTATTTTTATTGACAGTTCTTATGAGGCGGAACTGATTTTGTGGACATTGCCATTAACGAGTGGTCACGTGATCAGAATCTCGACGTTGATGTCACTGGGGCGCTCGCACCGCGCCAGCTGACACATTTCTGCGACGATTATTTCTACAGACCAATTTTTGCCTTCTCGTCTGCAATGCTGCATTGTATAGTACTGTTTTGTGTCGGACAAACAATTCCTGGCCAGCATGCACGATGGCATCATTACAAGAAAAGCCGCATTTACGGCGGCAGTCGTTGGCAAAGTACTGCCGTCCTCCAGGAAAAGACCGTCAAGCGAGGGTGTGTAGCGGTGAACATTGCACTCGTAAGGGCTACGAGAAAATCCTGTAGAACGAAATGGAGCAAGCATGAAGGCTCAGGTTGAAGCCCGATGCGGTGCTGAGCGTGTTCCAAAACGATGCTGAGGACTCCCCTCCCCACGCTAGTGGGCCTGATTCTGTACTCGCTGGTACCCAGTGTTTGCGCCGGCCCATAAGCACTTGTGTCACCATCGAGATTCTGATCACGTGACCACTCGTAAACGGCCGCGTCCACAAAATCAGTTCCTCCTCATAAAAACTGTGTATAGAAAAAAATGCTTTTCCTTTTTTGTTCTTTATTCATGCTTAACTAATCCTGTAGCGACGATCTAAGTATATTTGCAATTTGGGCCTGATAAATACAATCTTCCTTTAATCTTTCATGATATAATGAACCCTGTTAAGACTACTTATGTAATATGTGGAACACTTATAAGCTACCAAAATTGATTTAAAAACTTTCTTTTTGAAGTTCAGACTCTTTCTTTTCTATAATTTCTTTCGATTTGTGTGTCTGCTTTTATTCCTAGGAATTTGCAGTATCGTGGGGAGAGCCACTTCGGGTAAAAGGTCAGTAACTTGGTTTTACCTTCATTGCAGAACTGCATTTTCCCTTGATGTTTGTCCACTTTCTTGAGATATCAATTGAACTTATAGGTCAGAACGAGACAGAAAGGACGAAAACTGGCATGTTCATAACAGGCATTGCGGGCAATCATTTCGTTGCAACATAGGCCTATTGATAACAAACGGTGTAGTGCATATACCCATAGCCTTTGAAATACGGATCAAAATGCGTCAAAGGTAGTTGATTCATTTGATAAAAACTTACTGAATCCTATGTATTTGGGTTTTTCGATAAAGAAAACAGCTCTGCTCTGCTTCCGTTTTGAGCGGTCTAATCACTTGCAACGCCGTTAAAAAGGGTTAATGGCAGCAGTGCTCAGCTATTTCAAGTCTTGTTGAAGTATTTCTATTTGCATGTTTTGCCTTGTTATATTTATTTTTTTGTTTATTTATATATTTTTAATTTTTTTAGTGCGGGCCAACTATTTCTTGCCAGTAGCTGCCGTGGCAGTGCCGATTCCTTTGGTCATCATCCTTGCAGTACAGTCGCTGGAGTGATCTTTGTAAGGTTAGATAAAACCACAAAGGATGTGGCTTCTTTTTGCAAACATTTAGCCTCAACTTTGTCTAAACTGCGGCGAAGAATTATTCATTCGTTTTTTTTCTTCATGCATAACGTAATGCGTGATCAGACTACGGTATTATCGAAATGCTTGGAATTGTACTCCTATCACCGACATTGTATTCGAGCGTATTTAAAAGCAAATCTAAAAGTATTTTCTAGGAACATGATGCTCCTCCCGATCAACGACTGAAAGGAAATTTTAAGTCAAGTAGCATGCAAAAACTATTGAAAAACATATCCATTATAGAATAAGTTTGTATTTGTTATACAACTGAATTGCGGTTGTTTCCAAGTGATTTGTGTTGCTCGTGTTGTTCCAACAGCTGTTTTGAATAGTATCCCCCAGACATGGTTTAAATGTAGTCATTTGTTTTATCGTCTTGATTTTTTCTTACATCATGATGGCAGAAAGAAGCTAGGAAGGAGACGACAGGACAGCGCTCACATTGGTGGAGTGAGTGGTGAGATATAAAATCTTGTCCCATTAGATTATAGTTTGTTGTTTAATTGTGTTAGGTACAATATTTAATTAAGGACTAATCCGAGGAGACACTTGTCTCAACCCAGACTGCGTTCGTGTTGTGCGCGTCTTCCCAGCCTGAAAAAATCGAAAATCTTCACCGATAGAGGGCGGTCACACACAGAGGATCTATAGGGTGTGTGCGTCACATCGTTCCATGTAAACACATGTACATGTACATGAAGTATTTGTACAGGGCGGTGAAAGAAACGATGAACTACGGTCAGAATCTTGACTAAGGGTGACACCCGCAGTGGCACTAAACTCCCGCGCGTTCTTTGCAGTTACGTGCGCGTGCGTTTGACAGTCGATGCAGCATGTTGGTGCAAGAGGCGTGCATTAAACGCACGTGTACTCACCCAACCACGAGCATGGTGCAACCGGGAAATTGGCTCCTAATCTGCCCCAAGTGGCAGCAAGAGATGGCGCAGTTTTCCTGGCAACGGAGGCTCTTTTGGTTGGTTGGCCCCCATTAATGCCTTAAGCTGGTGACGGTGCTGGTTGCATGGCAAATATAAGAAAACCTGGTGTGCGCGCTCCTTATCCTAAGTTCGCAGTACTCGTGTGCCAACACGGACGCACAGCCGCCATTGCCACTGTGGGCGAAAGTTAGCTAAAAGCGCACGTACGTGAAATGCGAATACCGTGCGCACGTTTTTTCCACGGTGGCAATCCGGTTCGTAAGTGTGACGTCGCTTCAGTTTAAACCACGCCCACTACACATGCAGTGCACACAGAGTTACGCGCATTAATCGTCATTTACATGTAGCCATGGAACCGGAAGTTAACGTGCAACTTCAGCGATCGTCCAATGGGAGCCTGTAAATCGTGGCGCGGCCGCGTGTATGACGAAGTCACCTGCAAACGTCCACGGATGGTGGTCCTTGCTTTGGGTCACGCACTCTAGGTTTTCTTTATAGAGCTCTGTCATTGCAACTGAGCCCTCCCCCATCAGCATGGCTCAAGGCAGATGCTCTCTGCAGGATTAGTCTTTGATCATCTTCCTGAGACCGGGCAATTTCCTAACGTACTCGAAGATGTTAACAAATTACTAGATTAAGTGTCAGTGGTCTAAAATTAAATGACCGCATTCAGTTCCTTCAACTTATTGAAGTGTTGAAGAGTGGGGCACCAGGTAAACTTTGCCTTCCATAAACGTTACCCATTTTGATTGCCAGAAAAGTGTTGAGAAACAGGAGTTTGGAACTAAACATTAATGGTAAATGTATAATTTTACTATAATTTACTCTCAAAGAGCCAAGTATTTTATGCCTATCTCCCAACTGGGGGCGGGGTCCCCCGCCCCTCCAGCACTCGGATTTATCACGCTCGATTGTTTTGAAACTTGGCATGCATGTAACGACATAAATTTTATAACCAACACCAAATAACATGAAGTTTGAACTCATCAGACATATTGTTTTGTTGCTATGGTCATTTGAAGTTCAACGCTGCACGCGTTGCAGCCCACGTGCATTGAGCGCGGAAGTGTCCAATTCTCACAAATGTTAATGACTGCAGAAAGCTACGGTAAGAACTCTTTGATGCTCTGCTTTTCATACAAATGCCCTGCGGCGATATCGGAAAACAATGTTGAGAGGGCGAATTCCGCCCCCAGCTCTTGTAGGGTTAAGCTTAATCAAGGATAAAATGTGACCCACCCTGTGGAAATGAATCTCAAGTCGCCAGAGCCACTTTTGAGTTTTAATTTGTATTCGAAAGACCAAATTGTATTTTTTTTATGATTTACTTAGTTTAGTATCCTGATAGAAGTGGATACTCCATGGTGACAAATGCTGTGGGTTCCTATTGATTTACACTGTGCAAAATTATTATACTCCAAAGTGGCTCTGGCGACTTAAGACTCATTTTCTCAAATTGGGTCACAAATTGGGAAATCTCGACCATTTCGAGTAACATTTTGGTTTCATTTCACGGAATGGCTGCTTTTGTTGCCTGTAGAGGTAGGGCTAGAATTGTTTGCGTTTGCTTTCTATTTCCTTAAGCTGTTCTTTTTAAATTTATAAGGTGATGTTGAGCTTCGAGAAGGCCCATTACGACATGCAAAAGCAAATCCTTATTGGAACGAGGAAGCGCCATATGAACCTATTGCAATACTGTGTGAGTCGGATTCGATTGCAAAGTCGATGGGAAAACCGAACAAAGAAAAGAAGAAACCTGTACCTGCCCCAAGGAAAACGGCAGCATGTGGAAAAGGTCTCAAGGACTATCCTTACGAGGTTTGTTGCGATTTAGGTTCGAGGTCTTTAGAAGGGAGAACAGTGGAACTCAAAGACTCTAAGAGAAAATCGCTCCGTCGGACTAATTTATTGTTATAACACAGTCACAACATAAATATTTCTCCCGTTTCTCGACATTTTCGTTAATTGGCCGATATTTTTCCCCAACCCAAATCGTTGATACTTGAGTAGACTAGTGTCGTTAATATTCGCTACACTTGGCATGCATACATTGCTTTTTTTTCAGAACCCCCAATAACATGTCACAACTGACAAATCTTCTTCAAATATTTAGGTTATGTTTTTTACATACCGGTCCCCGCATCTCAACAACTTTGATTATGCGGATTGTTTTACAAACGAACAGACGTGCGCGTTCAGTATACAGCCGGCCGGCTCGAGATCACTCTAACTTATTCAGGACCAGAAAATTCATTGTCACAATTAATTATAATAACCGTTTCTATAAAGAGGACAACAATGTATAGACTTCATTTAACAGAAAAAAATGCGATTTCAACAGTGACTAATGAGAAAGAAATCCCTTTGCTTGCATAATGAGTACCGTTTGCTCCGAGTCTCTCGTAAAATGTACATCACCCTTAATTAACATTTTAAAAGTTAATAAGTTCTTAGTTTATTTCAAATTTCAGAATATGCCACCTGTTTTTGTGGATGACTCTGTGGTGGAACCTGACGCGAAGAATAATCCTGGTAACAGTATCCCCTTATTCACCTTAACACACACGTTGCAACATTTAGAATTGCACATGTAGTCTCATATTTTTACAGCCAAAACACTTATGACAACAGTCTCTCGTCTTGACGACGGACAGACCTTCAAGACATTTTTCAAACCTTTTATGTCTTTTACCACAAGTTCTGCCGACGCAGTTTATTATGATTGAAGGTAGCACAGCTATAACCCATTTGTCTTCCAAAATTTCAGTATCCTTATTATGAGGTGTGAATGTTTCATCCCCGTGCTCATATAAGTAAAAGGATACATGCATTGCAGGAGCTGTGTTGCTATATTGACAGGAATACGACCGTTCAGTAAAATATATATACCAAATGGAATTAATTCAATCTTTCTGTATTGTAATGATTTTTCTTCCTTTGAGCGAATTCAGATGGAGCCAAATTCAAAAAACGCCCGCCGAAGAAAGAGGTCCTCGTCTACGACACGCCCAGGCCCATTGTACATAAGGTCGAACCTAAAGCACAGGCAGCCAATCCAGTTGCCCGGCCGAGTGCTACAGGCGCGAATGCAGTTCATGAGGCTGTACCATTGGCGCAATTTGAAGACTATATCCACAAGAAAAAGAAAAGAACTTACAGGGACGGTAACGGTTTCTTGAAGGATTATGAGGTGGGTGGCTCCAGTGCATGGTAATTTTAAACATCGGCTGCTTGTGGATAAAATGTGTCAAGCTCAAGGCTTTAAAATATGTGAATCAAAATAATGTGGTTTTAAGGTCAAGATATTATACTTTTAAGAGGACTTTTGTATTTTTCAGGACCTTCCAGCTCCGGTCAAGCATGCCTGCTCGGTAGGGAAAAAGCGTGCCAACAAAGAGAAAAATCGCTATGCGAATATCCTCCCGTGTAAGTAAATATATGCAACACGTTGGCTTGACATTTCGGATTACCTGCCTTAGATTTGAATACTAAAAAGCCGGGTTATTTTTAATCATCTCACAGCCGGACAGGTGGATAAAGAACTCGGCTGTCTAGTACCCTATTGTTTTTAACTCTTGTCATGCATGTGAAAACACTTGTGGTTGTAGAAATGTGAAGTTTCAACTCAGTCTAAAATATGGTTTGTAGGTACGGTCATTCGAAGTTCAAGCCAGTACACCCACTAGCATTGATCACATATGTTGGAAAAAGTTTTTGGCTGACATTTCTCGGAAAAATGAGCGCTGCGTGAGAACAGGAAATTCAAATTTCAAAAATTCGTGTCGGATTGACCGCAAGAAGTTACTCATAAGATCCTGAAGGAAGAAATCTAAGGCGGCGATATCGGGCATGGGTGGAAATCCCAGGGGATGGGGATGTGTGTACCCCCCTCTGTTGACCAGAGGATGGGCTACTAATCATATTTTTGTTGAATTTTTGTGCAAAAATTGAAACGAATTCTAAGGAAATTTTCGGAATTTCCAACAACTAAATGTATTTAAGCACTCAAAAAAGAACAATTTTTTAAGCCATACGTCGTTTTAAGGTAAGGTTCTGCAGGACTGTAATACAATACGAGGTACATGGTGTCAACCCCCCTCGCCTTTTCAAATTCAACGAAACTGAGTAAGCTTACCATTAAACTGTTTGTCAAAGATAAATAGTCTTTGAAATCGTAAACGTCTTGCCCAAAACCTGTCTTCTGCTTTGAATTAATTTGACCAACAATTGAAAATGTGTTACATTTTGGCTAAATTTCATTGAAAAACTTTCTACAGAAGCAGGGAAAACCTATATGCTTACAATTTTATTTACCATGCCTATTACTTTTTTTGTTTCCCAGATATTTCCCAGACATCGGAATTAGGTTAGGAACAGTTTTTGTTCACATCATTTTGTGCATGTGGATTTTTATTTGAATTTAAATATGGTAAATAGGAAACTAGACTAGAATGGCGTGAAATTGACACAAAATACAGTGTAACATTCACAGCAATGAATAAAAAATGAATTGCAATCCATGGATAAGGATGAGTGTTTGTAAAGAGGATGAAAGATAACATTCACCTTTAAAGTCAAAAGCATGTTGAAAATTGAAATTACTAAGTGTACGATAAAAATCTATGCTGATACTATTTATTATTGCAGATCTATCATTAATAAAGACGAAAATAATGTACATAGAATAGGTCTATCAAATAAATAATTGAAGTCTGGTTGATCTTCAGGTTTACGGATTCAGTTGGAGTATCAAACCTTTTCCTTATTGAATACGTTTACATTAGACATGTACTTGACACGTGACTAATCAATTCACTTTGGAATGCAAGCACATGTTGCTGCGGCCGAGGCTGACATACAGTGACTCATGCGTTATAATGGACAAAGCCCGTGGTTTCCTCTGTTCACGTGATTAATTACTCTCCTACAATCAAGCTGATTCAAGGGTGCTACGTGAATGAGAATGAGATGTTTTTTCCTCAATACATGTGATTGATCCTCAATAACTGCAGATGACGATACTAGAGTGGTGCTGGAAAAGTTGCCAAATAAGCCCAACTCCGACTACGTAAATGCGAGTTACATTGACGTAAGTTTCCCAATTCAGTGACTTTACACCCTTAAGATAATTTGTTCTGTTTGTTGTAAACTTGAATCACGTTCTAGGATTTACTGACCAAAGTCGAATTGACTTTCAGAAAGAAACCTAAAAGAAATGATAAAAAGACCCAAGGTTCATCCAAACCGACTTTCTGTGGCGGGGGAAACTTGACATTTCTTTATATAACCTTTTCTGTCCTTTCTGACGAGGGAGACTATTTTGTGGGGCTTTTTATAGCTTTTTGGAGGAAAGGGGGTGAAATTTTACCCAAAAAAGTTGTGATCTTTTTGGGCGGGGGGGAGCTGTTCGCCACATTTGACTTGCATATTGCATGACAGCTTAAGACGGGAGTAACAAAATAGCACTGAAACCCCAGCTGAAACAGTTTTGCTCATTGAAACGTAAATCTGCTACTTCCTTAAAAAAATTACTAGTTTGCACACCCATCTGCACTGTTTCCTACAGTTTGCGATAAAGTGGATTTAACGGGCTTACTATTGTTTATATTTCAGGGCTTTGATGAGCCACGGAAATACATTGCAACCCAGGGTGGGTATGGCCACAGAAAATCCTATACGGGATACTTACACCCCCCCACACACCCACACACAAAAACATACACACTGAAAAAAGTAGCTGAGAGATATAGAGGAGTGATCGTAAAAAGGGCATTTTGTCGCTGGGCTGTGTGTCTGATGCTCTGAGAAAGTTGTACTCACGCCAAAGACTGGGAGGAATATAGACAAAATCCACATTTCATGAACTTGAGATTCAAGACAGTTATAAAACTGGTACGTTTGCTTGGTGGAGTAGTGAAAGCACGGGTCCCTGTAGCATCTGTTAATTTGAGAGGAATTTTGAGAGGACCAAAAAAAGCTTTTGTAGCCCTGGTGTTTGGAAAGATGATCACCTGAATGCACCCCTCCGTTATACCAACTAATACGGTACTGACTGAGTCACATGGCACTGTTTTTGTAACTTCAGGGTCAACTGTGAAGTCTACGATTGAACCCATTTGGGGATGGTTTACTCAAACGTTGCCTTTTGTTTATCATATTTTAAGGTCCTACTAAAGTATCTGTGGATGATATGTGGCGTATGGTTTGGCAAGAGAATGTGTCAAAGATTGTCATGTTGACCAACTTACGGGATGGAGTCAAGGTAAAATACTATTGAATGGGTATTTCACCTCGCCTAAGTAAGCAATAATCCAGTTTCCTGACATGATTCCGACGAGCTTTAGTATTTAAACTGTCATTATATGAGGAATAACTCGATTCCGAAAAAAATCCGAAATTGTTTGCTTTTTTTAAATTCGGACCTTCTCGTTGACTTTCGCAATTACTGGTGATATATACGTATCTTGAAAAACACAAATACCTGCCATGTTGTTTGTTATTGCTGTTGTTGCCAGGAAAAATGCGACAAATATTGGCCCGATGACACTACCACCTATGGTAACATCACTGTCAGATTAATGAACGAGGTGGAACACAACGGCTACATCGTAAGGGAGTTCACTCTAGCAATCAAGTCACAGGTGAACACAAACACTTGGTTGTTGCTGTTGGTGGTGTTGTTGTTTGTTGTTGTTGATGGTTGTTGGTTGTCGTCGTCGTCGTTTGCCGTTGTTTGTTGTTGTTGTCGTCGTTGTTGTTGTCGTTGTTGTCATGAAAGTCCATCGGTAATTTTAATTTTAAAAAGAAGCAGTGTGTCTATCAATTAATCAATCAAGGAAAGCTACTATGGTGATTAGTGTTTTGGGAATTTGTTCCCCTCAGAAGAGACTTCGTCAGGTTTGTCAGTTCCACTTCACTGCGTGGCCCGGGGACGGTTTACCAAAAGAATCAGCAAAATTGATCGAATTCATCAAAGCTGTCAGAGAGTTCAGGCCGGATGGTGCCGGACCTATGGTCGTCCACTGTAGGTGAGTCCTTTATGACAAGTATTACACAATTACTGTAGATTGTGACATCTCGTGAGTTATACCATGAGCTGATGTTTTAAAGCTTGTGGTCCTTCTTGTTCATATATGCAGCTTGTATGTCAATTTTATTCAACTTATATTATGCCTTTGTGCTATCTAGCAAAAACGGTTTATGATGCCTGACTAGAATATAACAGATAATAATACCGGATGAAACAGAGTCACATGTATAAGTTTTGTATTTTTTGAACCTGTTGTCATGTTGAATGTACGTATTCTTTGAAAAATGTCGAAAGGAAGCGTTTTTTTCCCCTAAAGCTGTGATTGAGTGGTGTAAATTAACGACACAGGTCACGTCTACACGAAGAGTTGACTCTTTTTTGTCTTGCAGCACGGGCACTGGTCGCACTGGATTATTCATAGTCCTGGACGCCATGTTGGACCAGGTAGAGAAAGAAGGCAGGGTGGATATTTGGAATTTCACACGTAGCATGAGAGATAAGAGAATTGGTGTGATACAATCCGCGGTGAGTAAACACTTTATGTGAGTTGTCGATGCAAAGAGAAACATTAACACAAAACGTTTGCATGCACACCAAAAGTACGCTTGTTGTACGTGCAACGCAGTGTGAGGTTTATTACTGACACTGGGCGTGTGACTCAAAGCACAGTAAAAAAAAGTATAGTTTATTAGATTCTGGTTATAATTTATGTGTTTCTTTCATGCAGCTGCACTACGAGTTCATCTTTGATACGCTTTTGAACACACTGAAGTGCGCTGAGACAACGGTCAAGTCGGCTTAGGCCCAGGGGACATTCCAAACTGCACCCGGACAATTTGCCCAAAGATTTGGGAGCATTCCTCAAACGCTGGAAATTGGTTATGTTTCGTTCAAGCTGGTTTTTCAGTAAGGCAGGGAACTGGAACAAGTCTCACAGACCGACTACTGAAAGCAGTTTCAATGTCTGTAACCGTGAGGCACGTAGCAATTCGTTTAAGATTTAGCATAAGTCTAGAATCGGGGTGTTTGTGTGATGATAGTAAAAAAAAAAGCCCCTTTGTGTAAAGATTTAATCCATATCCGGAAGAAATGTATCACTCTTTCACTATACACAGTTGGAAAGTAAAAGAATGCGTCCAATAGGTATATACCTATTGTCTTTCAGGGAGGGACTATTTTTGCACTGACAGTGATTAGCGCAACTGCGCGGACAGTACAGCAGACTACGTGCAGCTCTGTTATTTTACTCAGAGTGGTCGGACACGGTGACGTGTAACCAAGTTGCAGGCTGAGGGTATTTGTTCCTGGCAAAATTGAAAAAGGCTGCCGTTGTGACGTCAGTCCTTTCATAAAAGTATCGACTATTTTCAAAACACAAAAAAATTACGTATAAAAAATATACCACTGTGCTTTCAGCGGCCCCGAGCAGAAAAGCCCCCTCATCGGTTGAAAAGAGCTGCGTTGAGTGTTCTTTTATAGCGATGCGACTGTGAGCGTGCATTTCCTAGTTGTTCGTCAAACAGCGAAGTTCAGTTCCCACCAAAAGAGCCTTCGTTAAGACAATAGCGCCCTCTGTTGATCCTGTTCGAGGCCCTTGAGAATCGAGAGTTTTTGTTTTTGTTGCATTTTTTACATAAAAGGGGCTAATTTGAAAAAGGAACAATCCATTTCAAATCTTTTCGTTAAGTGAGTTCTCGTTTTCAACAAAATATTCTTTTGTATTTCTTTTAATTTGCCTCCCTATCGCTAGTTTATATTCGACGGCTATGGTAGAGTTTAGGTAAAGAAAGTTTAAAATACCCCTTCAATTGTATTGTTATTTTATTATTTGTTTTCTTTTTTATTTATAGGTCATACTGTAGTGCTAAACTTATTGCTCAATATTTATCGTTTGTGTTTTTTGTTCTGTTTCTATTTTAAGTTCGCATTCATAAATGCCTCAGGCTGTCTCCTTATTCAACAACGTGCAACTTGACAGGGTATTAACATTTGATAATGCCCACTGAGAAGTGATAATGCCCTCTGGCACCTGCATACGAGACAGTTTAATGATTCTGGTTGGAGAAAGGTCTGTGTGCACGCAGCTCTCCATGCGCGCACCAAGTCCATATGAGGAGAATCTATTGGACAACTTGCACAAGGAATGTACCATAAAATGGACGGGGGTGTTCTGCAAAATGATAGTAAAATTTCAGAACGAAATCGTTGGAATTCCATCATATATTGACTTCTTTTGACTATCAGACTAAAACAAGGTATTTATGAATGAGAAGAAATATGTGCTTTTCAGGTCTTAAACTAACGTTTAACGTTTAAGATTGGCTCAGGAGACTCAATAAACGCTGATATTGCCATCGCCTGCGGTTCGGGAATTAGTCGCGTCCATTCTCCTGAGCCAGTCTTAAACAAGTTCATTGGATTTTACTCTGCTAGCATTGTATTTCAACATACCAACCCGTTGACCTGTGCCCCCTAAATGTAACTGTAAGGCCGTAAATAATTTAATACAATGATATTTAGTGTACATTTATAATGATCAAAAGTAAATTAAGTGCTAAAACTTCTTAATACTTCTCAGCTGGTTTTCCAAAATTATGTGTGTCCCAAACGAAAAAAATAAGAGAGTTTGGTGTTTTGTTGTGTACACAAATCATGTAACAGATATGGCAAAGTCAGGAACACGGTATTCATTTGTGAGGACAGTGAAATGTGGTTCCACAAATGAGCCGGTCACAAAACTTTCTCCAGGTTGTTATAAGAGATGTTGTACAGCCACATCGATTTCATGTAATAATTTTTAGTCCACTTAACATAATGTACCCATTTCTATAAAAGTGCACACGTGTAGGTCTATCTAAGATCTGCATTTGTGAAGCAGGCGTATAAAATCGAAGATATGTACTCACCTTTATTTGACGGATGGTAACGGATAACTATCCGTGCTGATTTAAGCGACAATATACATGGTGATAAGTGGGACAGTGGTTGTGCATCCATCTATATAGGTGCAGGACTAATTCAAGCTAGACGTTGAGTGCCTTTCCATATGTGTTTTTTTTTTTTTTGGTGCGTTGCGTACACAAGACGTTCATGCGTTTCACTTTCACTGACACAAAAATCTACTCCATTTACATAACACACGTGTGCATTGCGTTTGGCCGTCAAAATCGTTGCCGGGATATGCGCAACGCTTGGTGTAAGTGTTGGCACACATTAAGCTCTCACATAGCTGGTGTGTATGCACAGAAAATCCGATTCATCTCACGGCTCAAAGAATTAATAAGATTCTCCACCCTTCATTGTTGCAGGGACGTCTATGTTATAAGAGACGACTTAAATAGTGGAGATTGGTTATTTATAATGACTTTGGTGTTTCGCGGTTCCATCCGTTCGATTCGAAGAATGTCCGTCTTTTCATCATTTTTTAAAGCATTGCCCTGGTTTATTTTAGTGTCCTAGTGACCTAATTAAAAAAACAATTATCGGTTTGTGCTAATAACTCTACTACAAGTAATTAATATGTTAGTTTTTGATATTCTATTTAGAAATGTAACCCAGATTAAATTTAAATTTGATAGAGTTCAAACTGAATCTATTCAGAAAATGATTATACGTACATCGTGTGTATATTGAAACCGTATACCAATTAGAATATTTATGAATGATTTAAAAAGTAATGCTTGTGGCATCGGAATGATTCGTACTTTTCAATAAGAATAGCTTTATTCAGATGGTTAAAAACATACACAGAATAAATTCCAGTGCATAATGTCTGAAAGTTATTTTGTGCAAAGTATAAAGGTTTGGAAGAAATAAAATGAATCATAGATATCCATACAATACTAGTTACGGTTTTTCAACATGCTACAGGATACTTTGGAATAGTTTGCGCATTACTACAGACCTGAGGATCAATTGAAATAATGAGACATCATCCCCCAAATGAGGAAGTCAGCCCTTTATAAACGTGAATACTTTCCTATTACGTTGCAATGTAGAATGTTGGTCCGTGTGCTTTGCTTTTGAAAGTTCGATTTCACACAAAAATATTGAAGCTTTGTCCGAGATTATGTATCAAGGAGGTCAGTTTTTCATCTTGTTGCACTATTTATTCACAACAGCTACTAATTTTGACCATGAAGTTGTGAAAAGAGTCACAACGGAGACTCAGCCCTGCGGTCACACATGACAGACATTTATTTCTTGAAATATATAGTGTCACATTGTGTCACGCCCCCCCCCGTTTTCAAATTTCCATGACTGGGCAAGTCATCCCCCACCTTTCCCATCCCCCTCCCCCACCCCAGCCCCTATTTCCGGCGAAAATGTATGCCACTGTGGGTAAGTGATAAAAACAGTTAATGAACGGTTACCAACACTATTCCATTGGCCTTGAGGAGCATGTATTCGTTCAAGATATCAAAAGAAAACAACCGGTGCCGCTTGGAAATCAAACTATTGCCGAATTTATCCAGTAAATAAATTGAGAAACAAATCATATTCACGTGCAGTTTGATGAAGAGCACTGATCTGCTGTTTTTTTAGATTTCAAAGGCTAAGTTTCTTTCCCGTAAAATGTATTACTTCCTCTATACTGGTCCGACATAATTTTTACCAAATACAAAACACAATCTCCCGCTTCATGCACACTGTATAAACAAAACTGTATTTGTTACGAACATTAAATAGATCCGATGGGCGACAAACATAAATGTAAATTTGAGTACGTAGACATGCTTTATTGCAGGTATTTCCCAAATAGAAATGCGAAATTCCCAAGACGTCATTTGCAGCCACAAAACCTATCAACATCTCGTTTTCCTTCACGACTCCAAAGATCAAGTGAAACTCTTATCTTTAATATACTACTTTATTTCATAATACTCATCTGGACTGCACTAAACTACAACTTAAATATTTTCCGTCCAGTCACCTTGCGTTTGTTCTTCGTACAAACGTCTCCCTCTATGGTCGGAAATTGATTTTATAATGTTGCATATTAAAATAATTGTATATCATTTAGGAATATTCAAACTGGTTTGACTGCATAGTTAAAAGTAAAAAAAGGAAACTTTGCGTTGCTTAATGTTAGAAACTAATCATTTTGTGCGAAGTATACATAATTTTACAAAAATTTAAACATTCGATATAAAACTCTTTAGAAATTGTAACAGACTTGAGTACACTTTTTTGATGTAGTGCAGAGTATCCCAGGACCAATTAAAATTCTTACTTTAAAGGGAAAAATCGGTCCTTCAAGATAATGAACATTACTCTTACGATCCGGCTGCATTGTTGAGTATTGGTCCAAGTTTTTTTTAACATTTTTCACAAAAATATTAGAACCCTCAGACTTTATCAAGGAGATCACAGCTTTGCGTATTGTTGCTATATTGTTCAGAACAGTCACCTATGATATTTTGATATGTTTTTTCATTCATCTGAGAAGAGTATTCTAAATTTGAATAGTACAACACTGATTAATATCTTGATACTAAGAAATGCTTATTGGTTTACCGTATGATTAGCCGTTTCTAACATCTAAGTAAGTGTGTACAAGGAATATTGTGTCAAGCGAACAATGTTCTCAGTACAAGTTACGTTTATGAGTAAACACTTTGCAACACTGGAAACTGAGCACTTAAACTTTTGGCCTTAGGTTGATATGATTTCATTTAGAAAGAAGTTTAATCCACAATCCTATGTCAAGATTATTATCTGCTTTAAGGGTGATGTTTGAGGATATAATAATTCCACAGATTGACACTCAACCAATGATAAAATATGCATCGAAATGTTAAAACTAAATTTCGAAGAAAAATGTCTCTCTCGGTTTTGGGGTTTTTTTTTCTTTCACGTGTTGAATTATCCAGGTGAATTTACCAAATCCAGTTTAGGTTTCTTGGTATTTCGATTCACCCCTGCAGTTGTTATACCTGACTTATGAGACGGACATTTGTAGAGCCCTCAAGTTGAACATTTTCATACACGATGTCTTTGTCCAGATAGGCCTGCACCGCTTGGTAGAGGAATGTATACTCGTCCTGCAAGAAAAAAAACCTCTGAATTTCAGTCTCTTTCTCTGCTCGGGTGAATGGTTAGATATTTACAACAAACTACACTTTAAAACGTGGAAGTGCATATAATGCTTTCGTATTTTGTGATAAAGGTGCCATTCAAGGTACCACAGACAACCTTCAAACTGTTTTATCCCTTTACCCACCACACTACATGAGTAGCCATTTCGTCTCTTGTTTTTTAGTTCTTTTGTGTCTACAACCTTAAACATAAATGCTGCTGAAGCTGTTACGGTTCGCTGTAAAATCCTCGTCGTCAACTGACAACGGCAGGTATTCGGATGGGTTGAAATCAAGAGAAACGACTCTCTCAATAGTTACTGAGTTTGGTTTGAAAATAACACAAAATGAACCATAAGAAGTAGGTGTTGTGTAGCACCCAGTGTCATGTACATGGTATCCAACCAGCAGTGTTTCCCAATTTCCAAGACCGAAAACAAAATCAGGATTATTCCCAAACCGTTTGCAAGGTAGACTATAAATTTGTGCATCGGGTACAGAACTTTAGGTAGGGATAAGGGATAAGTAAACCGGAATCATGGTATCAAGCAACAACGCCACAGACAAGTCATTATTCCTATTAGTAGCGTGTTACATCGGTGATAATATAAAGCAAGCAGAAAGGCAGATGTTTTGTATCTTAAATATTTCAGATCTTGCAATATAAATGACAATATCTAGTTGAAACAATGAATACAGATATCATCATATAGAAAGACCAGCAAGATAGACCAAGAAACAGATTGAGAGAGAATGCCAGTTAAGTCTTCGAAAAACATACCAACGAATGAACTATTCCTGGACGAACTTCTCTGAGTTTCCTCACTGCATGACAGACATCAACGACATTCGTGTCGTCCAGTTTCTCCAAGATGTTAAGCAGTGCGCAGAATGTGCCGCTAGCGCCCTCACCGTCACTAGGAAGAAAAAGAGGGGTCGATGTTAGTGGTAACTTCAGCAAAATACTTCTACTATACGAAGCGCATCTCAAGCTTGCGTGGGCTTTCAGTTTCAGGGTTACGGAGGATCGTTAGTGTATGTCTGCAATAGTGAAGATCTGCTCTGCTAACGGAAAAAATTAATGGTTCTTGGAAGACATTCAATACCAAAAGAATGTCCCTACTCACACGCAGTGAATGGCGACCCTTTCTGCCTCATGGGCATGCTGCCATTCCCGTGCAGCTTCTGCCAATTTCAAAACAGGTGCTGGAGACGCTGGTACCCTTCCATTAGGCCAACCGGATAACTGGAGATGGCATACTACACGGGACACCTGCGCAAAATATAATTTGAAACATAATTTCACGTTCGTAAGCTTTATTTTCAGCAATCGAAACGAAATCACATGCGGTAATTACACTGTACAGGTAACATTGTAATAGCAATAACTCCATTTTCTGCACTGGTTACCAGATGCTCAACCAACTGACTTCATGTATACGATGCTACACTGCTTGCTCCCACGCACAATGTTTACTGGCTGTGCTCTCCAATATCTTTGGAGTCGCTTAATGTCTTTTTAGAATTTTCTTTGCGTCGCACGCTTTGATTAAGCAATCGGCAAATTTCAGTACCGGTTTCTTTGTAAAAGATTTCCACTCATTCAGATTAAACCTGCAGTGTCTGATTTTGAATTTGCTCTTAAATTTCACTTATTCTATGACAGCTGCAGTAATAAATAAACCTCTGTCCACTTTAAATTGCATATTAAAGTCATGTCGATTTCTGACTGAATTTGATCCAGAGCCTTTTTCTTTTGAAGCGTTTTTGATGCAATGACAAACAATGAAATTTATATGGGTACTTTTGGAAGAGACACAGACGTTCCAACTATTGAGTGCACTGCTCTATCCATCACCAACACGTTTTCCTGTGAAAGAGATAAGTGTTATAGTTTGGTAAACCTCCAAAAATTCCGTTTTAAAAATCCTACTCACCCTGGTCTTAGCGTTAGTTAGCCTCAGGTAGCGCAGTGTAATGTTGTTCGTCAGTTTGTCTGCCGATTCCAGACTTACGGCTAGGGGAGGATAGTCTACAGAACCCTTAGTGGGTAAATATTGGCCAAAGCTCTGCAAAGAAAAAACAAATTATATACTTAGCCATCAATAACGGTGCGAAAAAAAGATGTTCCAACTCTGTTTACAATCTCTTTGAATCCATTCAACAACACCAAAGAAGAACTGATTGAATTAGTCTTTCTTCAGAGATTCAAGGCAACAGTCACATCTCTTGTATACCATATTAGTGAGGCTATTACAGATGATTCCAACTGGAAGTTCTTAAAATGAACAATTAAGCGGTCATGCCCAAATCTCAACCATGTTAACTCGTACTTGCTGGTAAACCATCAGAACAAGGGATCAGCATGCGCCGGGGAGGCTTCTGTTCATAGCCTTTAACAGCTGTAGTGAACAAATAGTCAGCCCATTTTCCATTCCTTTAGACTTTTGGTGAAATCTCTGGTAGGCTACCGGCAGCTTCCAACAAATGTAGCGATCTTCCAAATAAGTCACAAGGTACATGTACCGTATTTGATAACGTGCCAGGCTATATAACATTATGCGCTTTGCTGGAGACTTTAGGAACCGTCATACCATTAGCCCGTACCTCCTCTCCTAAATGTACATATACTTACTGAATCCCTATCGTCCATGCAGTTCAGCATTACGATGCAAGTGCAGTCATAATCATAAACCATGCGCCACAAATCACCAATGGTTCTTGACAAAGGCATCTGCGTCGCTATGTAGGCACTTTTAGCACTGTAACTCTGGGGTTTAGAAAAATTTTACTTATTTTGAATTTGAGCCCTATTTATAAGACAAAAGAGGTCTCTCGTGTGGCTTTTCCCTTTTTGTCAAAGAAACTGAAATAATAAAAAAAGCACAAAGGGTGCACCCAGCTCTCTCTGAAAAATCAGGAATATAGACCTGACAGAATGTCTTTAGAATGCACTCCCAATAACCACAGAAGAGACTAAATCTCCATGTTGTCCAAAAGTCAAGTCACTTCTTTGTTTAGTGCGAGTCGAAGTTGGCGTACATAAGTGCAAATCGCATCACATTACCAATCTAAGAGGCCTGGGAATATCATAATATACATAATTTTTATGCATCAGTACCGAGGGGGTGAAATTCCCTTTGTAGTCAATCTGGCGCAAGCTGAAAAAATGTTACAACGGTAGCTAGTTCGTTATTTGGCACAATTACTAATTCGCAAACCTGCAACTCAGAGGCAGCACAAATCACTAACATTATGTTTCTCATTGACACCCAAATTCCTCCTGGTATACAGACAATACGGTTTATTGCGTCCTGGTAATGGCAGTAACGGAGATGTTCCAATGCACATTTGGTTGGAAGTGTCACTGCGCAAGAGACCAATCAAACAAATGAACCACATGGAGACAATATCTCATCGTTAAACCATGACACTGTCCATCCATTACTAACCGACGACACAACAGTAGTAACAGTTATAAACTTAAAGATATTCAGACAGGCTTTGCCGGTGTTGAATAATATATTCCAAAGACGATTCTCAGAAACAGCTCGTCTTTTTCTATAAGTCTTCAGAGTAGCTCCTTATTTATAACGCCTATTTGATTTCTTCTCAAGGTCTTTTTCTCTAGGGATTACAACGCTGCGTCACTCACGTTCAGAAAGCATGCATTGATGTAGTCGGTGCTTCCTTCTGCTCCTTCCGTCATCAGACGTGGTCTAAAACGGTCCACTGCATTCAAACAACAGACACGATCACGTGACTAGATTTTATTATTTACATGAATATTGATAGGATGTTATAAGTTATCATTGTTTAAGTTGTAATTAACCAGTTTGGTATTCCGGCAGCCCATACCCAAAATGAAGCACGTCTGAGGTCACTGGGGCCAGCAATACACGCGGGGTCTGCCCTGTCAGGGCGGCACATGCACTCGCACGTGTGCTTCGTTCCCAAACGACCTTGTCTTTTTTGCAAAGCAAAATGTCTCATTCTGAAGCATATGAAATTGCAAAGAGTCTCCACTGATCAGGGCAGCTGTTCCTACCTGGTATCTTGTCTGGGAACCTGTTTTTATCAAGGTTTTCCGGATCTCGACCTCCTTGGCACTGGTCAGAGCTCACATTGGTGACATCACGGGTGAGTTTCTGAACAATTAGTGAAAAAAATTCAAAGAATTCATGTAGCAACAGAGGGACTACAAGCCTAAACATGTCAAACTTCAAAGTAACACTCTGTCATAAAAGCACAGGCGTGATATTAATCTTTCTGCTCGCGTGGGTCATTAATTTAATGACTTTAGGAGATTTGTTCTGTCTGCACTCACATTTTTCCCACGGCTTAGACCGTATGACTTTGATGCTCTGAATTAGAAATCAGACAAGCTAATGGGCATGTCGTTTATGGCCTGATGGCCCTCATGTGCAAACACTCTTCTAAACAAATCCTTACACCCGTTTCAGACAGGAGTCCTATAGGATCGCGCCGAACCAAATAGAATTTAGAGCAACTCGGGCCGACCAATTAATATTTGGTTTCAGACAGACGAGATTAATACATATATTTGCATTGGGTTCGGCCAAGGAAAAGAGCGAGTGACGTCTGAAACCAAGTCGCTCTGTTGTCGTTCCGAGCGCTTCCAAGTGTCAATCTGTCACCTGCGGCACGCCTGGTGGCTCCTAATTGTTTCAGATGTCGAACTGTTGCCGTACTTCAGCGCGACTCTAGAACGCCTGTCTGAAACGGGGGTGAGGGCAGCATTCAAGGCTTTATTCACTTTTGTGGGATGCTAAATAGAGTGGAATGGCTGTGACAATTACCTCAAATTGTTCTTGAAGGCCAGTCATCCGACTCGTCTTCTTGACTTTCTTCAGAGCAGCCAGTTCGATGCGGAAGGCGTCTTCATCTATAGCCGTGCCGCCAAACTTGAAATCTTCCAGCAAGGCATCAAATATAAACTCGTACTGTGCCTGAGGCCGACAGAGAAAGCAGGGTACATTTATTGCCAGAAGAGTCAGGTACCGTACAACGTTACTTTTTTGGCCTGCCAAGTCTGAAACCTTGGTCCGAATACCGTCGGCTGAAAAAACAGATTGCGATTGTCAGTCTCTCTCCCTATTCATAGCTGTCTCCAGGTGGATTTTGCTTTGTCTTGTTTTTTTTGCTTTGTTTATTGTAGTTTTAGTCATGTTAAACTCCATTCTTTGAAACAAAATGAACACTGTTTTTATCGTCCTCAGCCCGAATAGTGAGCGACTTCTGAATGAGAGTAATAATTTGAACCAACTGCAAATACAGCAACACTCGAATATGATGGAATGACATCTTCGTTATTCACAATCGTCTGCCACAAAAGTTGATTGGCAATTCAATAAAATGTATTATGTCCCCCCCCCAACACTAAGTTTTAAATTTAAGGGGAACCTTTTATGGGAACATGTTCAAGAAACGTTTTGAAGGGCATAATGAAGTACAAAGCGAACATGGTCGAAAAACGTTTAGATGAACTACTAGGAAAGGGTCGTTGACGAGAACTTTGTCGACTGGTCACAATAACTTACAGCAGTCTGGATCATTTTCATTCTTTTGTGTCTCATTCCGCGGACGAAATTCCAGACGTCAACTCGGCCCTCTGTCTCCGCCTGATCCAGCATTGAATCAAGCACGATGAATGCTCCCGTACGCCCTACTCCGGCGCTTTGATTTCGATGACACACAAAAAGAAACACTGTTTCAGCAGATTCCAAACGACGCCGACACTTAATAAACCTTTACATGCCAAATTTTTCTCAACCTTATTATTGTAGAAATAACTAAGTTTATAACGAATTTCACTTGTCAACCCAACGAGAAATGTTGCAATTCTAAGAGCAGAAACAGGTCAGTTGACACCTGACGGCAAATATTCAATTCATCCGTTTGCAGAGACGCGTGAAGGTAGAATTTTTTGCTTCACTGTTACATTCCTATACATGAACACAAACTGTTTTGTTTATTACATATGCAACTCTGCTGTTTCTGCGTCATTGTCGTATTTTCCTTACCAGTGGCCAGTGAAACTATGGCCGTCGTCGGTACACGCATCTATTAAAACACCACTATTGGACACAACTCCATTGTGTCCTTCCTCCATGCTGGCATACAATCCTGTCGCCTTTGTGTCTTGTCCGAGTACGCATGCTCGACAACCACCTTAGGTTCAGAAGAACTCAAGGCCACATCAGTCTACAACACGACTGGAAACTACCTTAAGAAAAGTACCAACCTGCAATGGACAATCATGTGTCCTGCGTCTTTTGGATTGTACGCCTTCACCATTTTGACGAAGCTGACAACCTTACTGGGGTCATGGGGCACACCCATATCAGGCCATGATGTGAAGTGATACTGACGAACATTCCTGGCAGACTGATCCTAAAATCATTAGAATGAAGATTCATAAACATCTTGCAAAATAGTTGTCGGCAACTTGATTATTTTTAAATGTGTATACGCAATCATGTACATTGTATAATGAATTGTTTTTTGTGATCCACCAATTCAACTTGGCTGAAGCCGGAAGGAAAGCTCGGCTACGAGCGATACTTGGAGCATTACAACGCGCATTACGTGGGAAATCCATGACTGTGACTGTCCACAAGTAAAACGCAGCATGTATGGGTAAGAAGAAAAATATAAATTCATTAGTCTAACTCATGAAAAGCGAAATACTGAAACATTACGGATGGTTTCTAGGTCATTCTTCTGTGACTGATTATCGCTGTTGAATTCGTGTAACAGCGTTTCTTTCATGTTTAATTGAGAAGTGAGCATGAATAGTCTAATTCCATCGGTACCTCCGTCTGTAGTGTGAAGTCCCGTATCGTGTAGTCCACGTGTGTCTCCTCTGCTTTCAACCTGATCGTCATCTGCCCATAGGTCGCTGTGTCATCCGGCCAGTACTGCGCACACTTACTCTGAATCCCCCCCAAAATAATTATATCATTATAGCATGGCGTTACCGGAACGGAGGTTGCATCTCATGACCATGACTATTTAATGTGGTTCCCAGACCAAAAGATTCTGACTGTTTGATAAAATCTTTACGTTCGGTAGCCGCCAATCGTGACCATTTCTCTTGTTTCAAAAAATGTCTGACATCGTCCCTTTAGTTTTCGAACCAATTTTGCTAATTTTCGGTTGTTGTGAAGATTCAGAAGTATCTTCATTGTGTTTAATTGCGTGATTTCCCGGCATTCAACATGATTGCGTCAACTTTTTTTTAAATATTTCTAACAGTGTGTTAGAATATTTATTGCTAGACATTTATTCACTTCAGGGGAAATTATCAGGTCTGGGAACCACCGAAAAAAAGAAGGAACATTGCATTATTTCAAAGTTCACCGTGTGTAATATAGAGTTCCTTCTGTGGATTTCACGAGATGTGATTAGGGCAATACATTTCAAAAAGGCATTACGTTCTTCGTGATTCTCGCGGACGGCGTTACCACTGGTTACTTTGTAATTGAACTGTTCATAGTTTGCCTGGTATTTTGCAATGTTTCATGTAGTTGAGAGAGGGATATCCACCAGCTATACATCATTCATGACCTTGATATCATATCCTGTCGTTTGATTAGATTGGAATGCAAAGCAGAAACATACGTATACATGTAATAATGCATAACGTATACCATAGTTTACAGTGGGCAAAATAAACTTTTAGGATTTTAAGAGAGTCGTAACAATCGAGCGAAGTTCCTGCAAAAGTTTACCGTTTCGGCTTTTTTCCCCACTGCAGTTACTAACCTTGACTCCTTCCTGTAGGTTAGTCAACATAACTATCTTGGCTGTGTTCTCCTGCCAAACCATGCGCCACATGTCATTCACTGAAACCTTGTTAGGCCCTGGTCCCATGAAATAGGCCATAAATATAAATATGCAACGGTTAGCATGTCTTCAGTGAAAGAACCATAAAGGTATGAACCCTAACGAACCTCAATTGTGGTAAAAGAGGTAAGCCCCTTAATTTTCTAAATGGAGTGCTCCAACTAGCCCTCAGTATTTGAAGCAGCAAAAGAAATTATTTTGTACCCATAACCGGGCCAATTCAAGTTCTCTCCTTCAGAAAAGAGGACCCAACTTTCTCACCTTTCATAATTCTATTTGATCTTTGAAAGTCATCATTTTGATTGCATGTTCAGTTTTTGTTTTTGAAAGAATAAGGACAGCATTACCTTGACTGGCAATGTACTTCTTCGGTTCACTGAAACCCTGAAAAATTCAGACAAATCATGTTGGCTGAATCAGCATCAATTGTTATAACTACTGCATCAATAGATCCAAAATTATCGAAAATCTTGAGTTATTCAAATAAAAGTTTATGCATGAACATGTTTAAATCTATGTAGATGTATAATTATGTCAACCAAGATTTTTAGTTAAGGACAACTGCGTACTCCTTCTGCCCGTTTCGATTAAAACAATCAATATCAACAGTTTAATGTCGATCCCTATTTGAAAATCGCAAAATCCTATTGGCACTCTACCATTTGTGATAGAGTATTAATGCGATACATGTATTTGTTTTAAAGCGTGATTACCACACTTTTGAAAATGCCTTCAAATGCCACGAAGGTTTGAAAAGCAACGTGTTCTATTAATTAAAGACAACTCACGTCAATGTAGCTTGCATTCACGTAATCTGAGTATGGTTCATCGGGTAGTTTCTCAAGCACAACACGGGAATCGTCATCTAAGCCAATGGGAACGAAATCAATATTGCACACAGATAGAAGACCTAGCTTGGGAAAGTACATGGTCAGAGTCAGGGTTACGCCTTTACTATTTTTATCTCAACAAATATATGCAGGAATCAGTTATCGAGAGGACGGCACTGACACGCAGAAAGTCTCGTAAACTGCGGGCTAAACATTGTCCACTACGTTTAACGTAAAAGGTACCCATCATCCGTGCACTGAGTCAGTTTTTTTTTTACAATTTCTTGTTGATTGGCGATTGGTCATTAGGAAATACACCACGAAGTAGAATAAAAAGTGACATTTATTTCGTGTATACTTACAAGGAATAATGTTGGCGTAGCGGTTTTTCTCCCTGTTCTTCTCATGTCTTGCCACGGAGCAAAGATGGAGAATTTCATCGGGCAAGGTCTACAAGAACGAGACACAGAGAGCCAAAAATTGCGAAAGGCTCTTCATCAAGGAGAAATTTATCATCCTTTACCACTTTAAGTTCGTCGCACTGAGGTGAGAGTGAAACGGACTAGGCCTATGTTCAAGAATCTCAAGTGGTCACTTACTGGCCAACATTAATTCAGCAATACATTTAAAGCATCTCCCAATAATGTGTCACTAATGAATGAGGGCCAGTCTGGAAAAAGCTGGAACCCTGAACCACATCATCAAAAACATCCTGCTTACCAGATTAATAAGATTTGTCTAAAAACAAGATGGCATCTAGGATCTGGAATTCGTTACCTTGAACAAAATACTTATTGATAAAGGGAGATTTTCCTTCGGTTTTGTTTAGTAGACAGTTAGGCCAGGCATATACCATTACTCACTTTGTAATCTTTCAGAAATCCGTTGTCATTGCCATCCACGAGTGCCTTTTTCTTGCCAACGTAGTCTTCAAAATCAGCTAGAAGCACAGGTTGGTGTTGCACTGGTCTTTTCCGTTCAGCAGGCTTGGGTTTGGGTGGGACGACAGGCGACTGCGAAGGAAGACTTGATACAGATGCGGCCTCGTTCGATAGACCTAAGTCACGGCTCTCCTCTGCCGCAATGTATGTGCCTTTCTGAATTTCTTTCGGATCTTCACTTTGCAAAATTAAGGGAAATCAACCGTCAGCTTATGTCAGCTTCAAAAGAATGTTCTGATCAGCGTGTAAACACTTAGTGGACGAATGTGAGGTATATCATTTCCTTAAAATTCCCAATAATTTCCATTTGCCAGTAATGTTTCTTTTACTCTTGAGTAATTACATGTTGTACCATTACTATTGCCTGAATCCAAATGGAAGTCGTCCGTGTTCCGCGTCGATTTTCGGGTTCGTCTTCTGTAACAAAAACGAAGAGTGCCAATATGTAAAACTATCCCTTTTAATGACAATATAACCATTCTTGTTTAATTTAGTGGGGAGTTTTGTTTTAGCATGGAGTGATGCACGTTTAAAGATTGGTGTTTTTATGTGTTCTGGAAATGATCTCGTTGTGAGGACTGCCAAATCCCCAGAATTCCTCTATGTAAAGAAAAACGATTGGATGATGAACATAAGAACTAGTTTCAAAGGTTGGTGTTTCACTCTCTTGAAAGGTACGGGGTGTATTATGCGCCATGCTATCAGAGTACCGCACACTAAGCTTGGCATGAGGCCTACCCAGACCCCAAATCTAGGCTTTTCTTACATTAAGGTATTCTACGATCAAATTTCAGTACTCCAAATAAAAGAGTGGCAACTCTCATCCAACAACTGAAACGGTAAGTCGCAGTATGGGGCATGAGTCTCAGCTGAATGAAAGGAAACCCGATGAATCCCTCTAGATCTCTGAGTGTTTTTTTACAAAAAATTTTATAACAAATTCAACCTCATGACTCCAGCAGTTGCTACCACGACGATAAGTATTGAAGGCACCAGCACAGCTGCGACCAGGACACCTTGCTGGCCACTGGAGTCTTTGCTGTCGCGTCCATTCACTGTCAAAACAAGCATCAGATGGGTCATAATTACTGCTAAGGACAGGAGAGGATTTTGCCCTAAACACCAACCACAACTAAATGTTTTCTATAACTTCTAGTGTCACTAGTCTAAGTATTGCCTTCAAAAAAGGGAACAACAGGGATCATTTGTTTGATAATGAAAGAAAAACGACAAATATTTTATTACCTTTTACCCTCAGCGGCTCATCTCCGAAAACTACAGTCTCCTGTGTTGATGGCAAATGTTTAATTAAAGACGAAAATTAAACCATAGAATTTTAGTTGCCATTGAAAGATTTAAGAATTAAGCTGTAAAATTTTTTAAAAATTTCAAAATGTATCTTATAATAAAATACATAGGCAAATATAGGCCTAATATGAATGCCATAGTTTGGTTTTCTTGTCTTGTGCGAGCACCTTTTTTGCAAACTCTATTTTAATGCCAAAATCATGGGTAACACCAAACTGAAATGGAGTTAATAATTACCGAGTCAGGAGTCCGGCTGACTGATCCAAAGTATATTTCATATTCAGCACCAGCCTCCAAAGGTAGGTTTCGGTATCCCCCGTAAGTTCCGTTATCACCCACGGTAAATTGACTGGGTAGGTCGTCTTTGCTGAATTCTGCAGTCACGTATACAGGTGACACAGCCCTGCGTAGTCTGTAATGGCGGCTCGGTGCTCGCGCTGATGATGCTGTGCTTATCGGTCCCAACAGGTGCACACCGATCTGGAAATCACTGCATGTAATAAAAGGCAATTGGATTTCTTAAGAGTGATGTATATAAATAATGTGTAATGAATATCAGGAAGTGCAAACTACCTGTAATGACCACTGCAAGTGATGCGCTGCCATTCATTGTCATTTATTTTGTCATCTCTTAGTCATTTATTGTATGGGACCATTGAACTTCTAGCCTGGATTTGTCCTGCCGAGTACAGGGACGGACTTCGTCCTCGATGAAAGGCTGTTTCCTTTCGACTAACCAGGAGATTACAATCACAAATTGAAGCATACATTATGCTAACTTAGGATGTTTTTTAATGTAAAGGCCGGTGCCTCTGAAACCTTTTAAATTGTGCTAAACTGTGAAAAGTTTTTCTGTAATGTCAACACGTTTTTGAATTACATTACTGAGAGATGTTATTAGACAGTTTTATACAGGTTTGGACGTTCGTGTGTTATCGTTTTACTGTTGTAGCTTTGCCCAGGTATTGATCATTGTCTAGCTTTTGTCGCTATTCTCTCGGAAACTTGTTTACAGATCTACAATGAGTGGACCTAATCTCGACCAATTCCACCAACCTTTTCTACTTTGTAACTGAAAGTATCACACAGATGGTGATAGTTTTGTGAAAAGCTAGGAAACACTTGGCAGACACTGGTGCTTACGTGATGTACGTTGACGCGGAGGGTGGTGTTAATTTGATGGTGACGGTTGATGACGTCGTTAATGAGGAATCAACAGAGGGCTCTAGCGGCGGCTCAATATCTGGTATCAAACAAGCTTAAGACGGTGAATATTTGAAGCACCAACATCCCATTCGCAGAAATAATCATCATGCAGATAATTTGATAATTTGCCATTCTCTGCAAAAAGCTTACTTTGTTATATAGTTTCATTCACAAACTATAGATAGGTTGAAAATGACTATTGCCCCTTTAATAACTTAACCCCTGCCCCCGTATTGTATGCAGGTAATCAAAAGATCTCGTATTTTGTTCATCCACTTGACCAGTACACCCAGGAATGAGCAACCGTGTATCAGTTTTAAATTTGCATCAACTTAAAACAGCAGGTATGTAATTTTAGTTGGGCGTCAATACTGTGAATACTCAACTTGTTTCAGCTGCTGTGAACGTCCTAATGGTCGCGTAGGGTCCAGGAATGTCAGTGTCAAGCCTTGCGATTCCAGCAACTCTAAACTCATACTCCGTCGATGGTTCCAAACCGGTCATATTTCGCTGCCTGCCAGATTCCGAGTTATTGACGGGAAGGAACGCTGCACTCGGCTGGAACATCTTGTCGTACGGTTTCTCCAGTGCCCTGTAGCCCAACTACAAAAAAATCTGGCTTTAAACTTAAAAAGAAACGGATGTTTTGCTTGGCCCCTCTGCTTGGGGAACACGAAGAGGGATTGATGCTGCTTCAAGGACGGTGATAAAGGCTGGTCCAAAGCATAAACTATAGGCCTACAACACAGACACAGCACCGTCTTCGATGCTTTGGACATGTGTGTCTCTCACACAGACTTGGCCAATTCCGTTCCACTGTTGTTGGTTGCTGTGTATATATTTATAGATTCATCTATACATTAAATAATAAGGGCAAACTGTACATTTCTGAAAAGAGAGATTCACCCCAAAAGGTCTACAACTTGGACTAAACTAGACATCTACAGACCTCTACATATATCTCGACAGGTCTGTATGAAGTGCTCGCTGTATAAGTATGCATCCATTCTGACAAAATTTAAAAATTAGCTTGAGCAAATTCTGTGAGACGCTAGAACTTGGCTGGAACTATAACATAAGGGGAAATCCGTCGCCAGTATCAGTGCTTGACAAACGAACTAATTAAAGGATAACTTAACTATGTAAATCATGTACTCCTGAAAACGCACGCAGTTCGAAGTGATTGGAGTTTGCCTGCACGCGCCCCTATTTTGGTATAATTATCTACATTCAGTGTCAATCATTAATACAAATAATTATCTTTTATTTAAAAGGCAAGACGGCGGTCAAATTGCCTCCTTGTAGTTTTTGAAAAATTTCCAAAGTCTCGATTATTTTACCTCAAGCATGAATATGAAGTTGGTCTTACCAAATATCCCACAATCTCCGCATTTCTGTCACCACATGGTATCTCATCCCAGCTGAGTTGAATGCTGTATTTCGTGACATTGCTTGAAGTAAAACCCTCAGGGACTTCTGTTGGTTCTGGATCGAACATAATGGCCAACATGAATTCGATATTCATGGCGAAATAAAACTCGTAGCGGATTTTCTTGGAGTTTTATTAAGAGCGATAGATTCAGTCCTTAAAAAATCAAACAGCCACAACTAAAATTGTAATGAAATAAGTTTAAATGCCTTCTTGAGGTTAGAGGCGGTTGCTTGAATCGCATAACTATAAAGATTAACTTATATACCCGCCTGATCACTGCGTTGTGTTAACAGTCAACAGAAAGTGTGTACCAAATGGCTACATTTGGAATGAAGCTTTACTGCTTTTTCTATTGTTAGAGCCTTTTTTATTAAAGGAATCAGCGATGAAGACCTTCACCCCCACAACTTAGAACTGAACTTTATTAAAACATTGGAGTAACATCAAAGATGATGGATACAGCTGGTGGGATCAGCCATGCTGAAAAGTTGCGTCACTCGGTTGATTCCCAGCTCCTGTCTGGAACATCAAGTCAAAACGAGAACCCTGTATCAACTACTTGCCTGCAGGAGGTGTGATACTTTCGACCGATTTCTCTTCGCTGTCACCAGCTTCGTTGCTCGTTCTCACATACACCTTGTACGTCGAGTATGCCTCCAAGCCGCCGATGATGACGCCCTCATTCCCACCCAAACCATAACGCACACGCTGTGGTAAGCTGAGCGACTCACACTGGTCTCTCGTTATCAACTCGTACTCTACTGCGAATTCTAGTGTGCAGGGGTTTTTGCTTGTGTCCGGTGCGGCCCACGTGATTTGCAATTTGTCAGGTTGCAATTCTAGATCTGCGCCAGTGCTTAGATTCTCCACCGGTCCGTGCGCTGAAAAATCACATAACATACTCAATTGTAAGTCCACGATTATTTGGGATCAGGATGTCACGAATACGGGCCTAATGAACATTATGGTGTCAGTCTTTATTCAGTATGTTTTAGAAAAGTTCTCTTCGGCCCTCGTTCTATGCTTTGAAGAATAAACCTTATATTTACCGGTTGAACAAGATTGGGTCAGGCACTAACTGTGGCATGCTTCATATTTGGATAATAATCACGCGACCGAAGTCTTTTTGGGGATTGAAGGTGCATCCATTTTTGGTTTCAACAGGATTGTTGTTTGCTGCTAGAGAGTCTCAGTGGAGAAGTGTCCAACGTGTCCACAAGGCTTTCCTTTGTAGGAACATTATGCAAGTAAAGCTTGACATGTCACGAGAAAATTATTTTTACCAGTATATGTACTGCCCTGATTGGTCCAAATATATCAGTACTGGGCTGTTGTTTCTGATAGTCTGTGCATACCTCTGGTCGATGTAGTCACAGACGTCAAGTTGCTGTACGGCCCTGGACCTAGCATGGTGACAGCCGCGACCTGGAAGCTGTAGTTGGTGCAAGGAAGAACATCGTCATCAATACGCACAAACATTTCATTCGATGACGCACTCTCGGCACCACCGGTATTGTTGGTAGAGGATAGCTGGTACCTGTACTGCGTGACAACGCCACCTCTGCTACCGCAGGGTACTTCACCCCATCGGAAGCTCACACTGTTATCGGATACATTGAACGATGTGACATTATCTGGTGGTGCACTTGGTCCTGGAAAAAAATAGGCGTTTAAAATATCAGGGGACATGACATGGATTGTCGGTGCCTCTAAGCCGTGTGGAAATAATCTGTTCATTTGTTTTGTTGTAATGGCAATTTTTGCAATATGAATTTACGGTTTAGGCATCAATTTCGGCATCTGAAATATGTTTCAATTTGAAACTTATGCATAAATTTCATATAAGACCTACATAGACAGAGGAAAAAAACTTAGCAGGCGTGAACAACTTTTGCTACTTACTACCAAAGATCTTAAAATCACCAATAGTAACTGAGATACTGAAATGGGGGCAAATGAACAGTAACAAAATTTACATCGTGTATCCTTAACATTTTGTATTCTATGCAGTGGCGTAGCCACGGGGGGTGGGGACACGTGCCCCCCACAAACTTCTGTTGCCCCACTCCCGTGCCCCCACTAAAAAAAGCGGATGAATGGATATTGAACAAGGCTAACAAATCTTCCCCCCCCCAAAAAAAAAAACACCACTGAAAGCTGGTGCCCCTCTGCGCCCGCCCCCTTAGTAACATCCCGCGCCAAGGATTCTAAGCATTTATTCCTATAACTTGATCGATGAGTCTGTCTATCTATCCCATAACTGCTGTGGAAGTCGATGGGAGTACCACTGATGTTTCTCCTTAACCAGCCCTCTCCACGTTACGGAGTACGGACTTCGAAAAGGGATGACCAAAATCTTTATTTCCAGTTCATAATTGATGGTGTTTTACGTCATCCGAAGTGGGCTTAACGTTTTTATCGAGAAATAAATGAATCGGGTTCATACTTCGTTTTCGTGAGAATAATGATGGAATGGACAGGCTGATTATTTCAATCACCTAAGAAAGATATAGTAAGATGTAGCTTCTCGAAAAAAAATAATCTTAGTCATTGTGACTGAAGATAGAGGTGTGCGCTTCAAGTGTGGACAGTAGAGTTACTTGTCAGAGTGAGGTACTTACGTGCTTCATCCGTCGTGAATTCGTCACTAGTGACGTTCTCAAATTCACCGGGCCCAGCCTCGTTCCACGCTCGCACACGGATCTTGTACGTGGAGTAGGGTAGATAGCGGGGGTCATCTCCTGGCTCCTCCCACGCGTAAGAAAATGTCTGTGCGTCGATGGTCTCCACATGGATGAAGGTTTCCGAGACGGGTTGACACTGGTCTCGATACACCAGTTGGTTTTGCACAGTGTAACTACTCACAGGGCACATGTTGGACGTTACATCCCATGTAAGCAGCCTGGTGTTACTAGACACACTGATGATGAGATCCTTCACTGTAACGGGAACTAACAAGACAGAGACAGAGGTGTGCCATTGTCCAACATGAAAACATGTTCAAAAAGGACCCTGGGTAATTAGGTTATGTTTACTTTTACTGGGAGGCAGAACTTTCAAAAAGAGATCAAAAACGAACGCATAGTTTAAGCTTAATTTACATTGACAACACTGTATTTGGTAATATGTGGAATTTTAATCCTTTTGTAAAAATGCACTTTAACGAATTGAAGTGGCATGACCGAGTATAGGCCTACTTTTACAAAGAGTAAAAGAGCGTTTTCACACCTACAGCTGGCCCGGAACATCTGATAAGTCCGAGGGTATTATATTCGAATTGAGGGGAAAACAGCAACAGCTACCTTTTATCATTTTAATTTGGCTTACCAGGACACGTGACGCAGGCATCGACTCCAATTTGTCCTAGCGGGCAAGAATCTGAAAATGATTTCAAACAAAAAACACTGTCACTCTACACAACCGGTGCGTTATGACGTCGATTGAGCAGATAGCGGAGGGTTGTGAAGCTAAGTAAAGAAGACGATGGGGCAGGGGAATGCGGTCAACAGCAACAGATACACGCTATGCCCAATCACAACAGTGACATCCAGGAAAGACAGATCCATGTGATGTAATCAGCAAGATACCACAACGGACCTACTGAGTGACTTGGAGGGGGCACGGGATGGCTAAATGGCTAAGTTATTTTGTGACCCCACTCAGAAATTGAACAATACCAGAAGCAACTTCCTGTTGTTTCAAACCAGGCACCACTAGGCCTACATTAATTGGTCTAGGTACAATTTCACAGAGCTGTAGCTAGTTTAGGAGTCTTGCATTTTTAAAAACTATAAGTTACAGACGTGGTTCTAGAGCTATTCTGGGGGCTGGACCCTTCGCACAAATCACCTTTTAACTTTCGCAACTGTTTTTGCCATTTCTGCATTTAACGTAGCGCTAGACAAACGTTTGGAGGGGGGTAAAGCCCCCTAAGCGCCCCCCTCGACCTGCGTCTGCTAAGGTATTAACTAGTTTGAAGCTTCCCCCAAACTTTAGAGGCAAACACTTTAATTTGCCAGTAGAAAAGTCGTCTTTAAGTGCGTCTCGGGTCCATTTAGTGCCCCTATCCGTTTGCTGATATGGCTTCATTTCAATGGAAACTCTCCGTAAATGAACGTAAACGGTCACGAACCACACTGACAGCTCATCTGTGGAAACTGAGGCACCTTTGTTTGTGTTTGATGGAACACTGTGGTATTTTTCCTTGGCCCTCTTATTTTTGCAGGTCCCAATTTTGTTTGGGGGGGGGGCTTGGCACAGCATGCACACTGTAAAAAAAGTTGGGCAAAACAGTGTTGGGCATTTCTAATTTGCCCAACCTTGGTTAAAGCTACATCACTGTTGGTCAAATATTGACCAGATATTGGGAAGAATCTGCCCAAAGGTTGCTAAGTTGATATTTTTACCAACATTGGGCAAAATACCAACCCAAAATTGACCAACCTTTTTACAGTGCATGTACCTGCATGCATGCTATATGCCCATTGAGTAATCCAGCCCTGTTTGCAAAATACGACCCACTTAGAGCTGGTGAGCCCAAATTCAGACAAAGGCCACCCCCCGCGCCTTGCAAATTGGAACCTACAATAACTGGTCAACAGAGTTCAGAATAAGAATCAAGTAAAATGTCGATTCGAAAGTTTCGATTATTTTTTAGATTTCAAGCTTACTTTGGCAGTTCTCCCCTCTATAACCGTCTGCGCAAGGGACGTTGGACGGACATGTCCCCTTGCCTTTGTCGCACACTGCATCATTATCACAATGGCAATTGAACTTACAGCCAGCTCCAAAGTACCCGTCTGGACAATCTGACAAGTCAAAGACAAGCACGGGAAATACATGTAGCGGGAAAAGAGTTGGTGATAAACAGCACTTGCACATACAGATCTTGTTACAAGAAAAAAATCATTGGTTCACTCTAACCTCATCCACAAGATGAACATTTTAAAGGTAGATCAATCAGTGGCGTAAATTTGTGCCAGAAATTGGGGGTAGGGCTTTGTTTACGAGGGGTAAAACAAAATTAAAATTTACAAGCCTTTTGAACGATCCGATGATTTTTTTAAGAAAAGTTTAGAGTCAAGTGCGTCCAGTCTTCATAAATTTACTGATTCCTCATGGAAACGGCATTGTACCATAAATCGCCCGTGGTCAAAAAGAACGCCACCTAACAAATTAGAATTGCTTGTGTATGTCACCCCAATTTTCTATTACCCACTTTTTTTTCCTTTTTTTATGACTTCATGAAAATCTCATTCTCCATTTGGGATACATACGTGCTTGGCAATCGAATCCTGTAAACCCGGCAGCACATGTACAGCCGAAGGGATCTTGAAGACACATCAATTTTCCTTGACAACCATCAATATTGCTTCCAGCGCACACGATACCGCAATCCTGGCCGAATGTGTTCTTGCCAAACACTAATACAGCGACCAGTTGAATTTCAATAAAAAAAAGAATGACGTTTTGAATCAAGGTTAAAGGGGGAGGAAGGGTGTAGCCACACCCCGCTCTTAAGAGTTTTCTTCAGTCGAGGCGTGCCAGCTAATAAACAGCGCTGAAAACAGCTTGCCACTGTGTATTAAAACGGACAGGCAAACACCACTTTTCAACTTTTACAAACGCCGTGGTTCAACTGTTAAAAACTCCGACCTTTGAAAAGTTGAAGTCCGCTTTAGCACACCTAGCTTTGAAGACCCAACGTCTGGTATGTCCTGCAGTATAATTTAATATTCCAGTACCCTCATGGTGAGAGACGTTTTAACACATTCATTACGTCCAGCAGGTGGATATTTTGTCGCATTGTTTCTGGGATTGCAATGTGACATACTGAAAGAATGAACTTGCACTCGATAAAGAAATTTGTATATTCCAACCAGCTAGTACCGGTATTGTTAATTACACACCGTAATTTCCTTTGCATGGACATTAAGAAGCTGTAACCACAGGTTAAGTTGAATGCAAATATGTTCTCACTTGTTATGACCACGTTACTGGTCAACCACCTCATACAAACTAGCATATACATACTGATTGTATCGTGCTAGGCCACATGGTGAACAACTCCAAACAAACTGGATTACAGTACCATATTTTGTTCATAACTTTTATAAGATGTGATTTTTGCGTCGGGAAGATGTTCATGTGAACGTTTTGTCCTTCACCGACGTTCACTCAGTGGGGCTTGTGAACAAAACTCACAAGCTTACGCAGCCGGGACTCGAACCCATGACCTCCTGCCTACCACAGTACACACGTCTTACCACACTGCCGACCGAACAAAATATTTGCAAATTTGTGTAGCCTTAATTGATGTCTACTGAATTCTGGAAAGCAGAATTTTAATTACTGTACACCTATTAATGAAGGGTGTCGAAAACCAGAAGGACATGGAGAGTCTAGATTTCACCTTTCAATTTTGAGCGCATAGCATGGGTGTTCTGGGATACACAGGGAACATGACAAAGTTGCTTTTCAGATGCCTGGACTCTGGGAGCCGTACATTAAGTGGTTTGACTCATGGACTCACGTATCTCACAGAAGTCGCCGGTAAATCCAGGCGCACAAAGACAACGTCCAGTGCTCTCGTCACACACACCGCCATTGTGGCACACTGGACAGTCGCCCTCACACGACAAGCCCCATTTATTTGCCGGACATGCTAGCAAATTAACAAAGACAAATTACATATAATATACATAGCTTTTTATTTAAACATGGACCTTATTTGTTCATGTATTAACCCCTGTATCGCGTTGGGGGGAAGTGGACGTTTATCCTCGGTAAAACAAATAATAAAAAAGAAAAGAAACGAAAAGCAAAAGAAATGGAAATAAAGGACGAAAGGGGCAAGCTTACAGAAGTCTTAAGGTGTTCAAGTCTCCGTACTATCGGGTGAATTGTATTTCACGAGTGCCACATACAGAACACTCACTTGTCGAAATGGCCTTCACAAAATTGTTTCTAGACACAGTGAATTTCAAAACGTTCTTAGCTGTAGACCGTAAGCCACAGCCCCTCGCCCGTGGGGAACATTACAGTTCGTATCCAACGTTAACAAGTAGTGCCCTTTCAAATCAAAAGGGGCTTTACTTTGGAGCATTTCATAGGGACGAGATGCTTAAAAAATACCTCGCACAATCAGCTTCATCAATGCGTGTTTCTGATCAGCCCATTGACCATCTTGGTAGCATTCATAGATGCCAGCATCGGTAATGGCAACATCGTAGAGACTGACCGACGATTGGCCATTCCACTCAGTTATATCAGCACCGTCGTGCTTCCATCGTAGATCGTCTGAAGACACGCTGTAGGTCACTGCCAATGTCACATTTTCACCAACACTGGTCGTCAAAGTTGGGAGTCGTGGTATGATATCACCTAAATTCGAGAACACACATACTATTTACAATCAAAATCTTAGGACTAATTTAGACCATGGAGGTGTGCTTTATTCCTCCATGTTTAGACAGTTGCCGAAGAGATTATTTCCACTAGCTTAAAAAACCACAATGGTTCACAATATGGGACTGAATACGCTGAGAACGGGCAAACAGCCTCAGTGGGCGATCAACAGCTACATTCAGAAAGCTGAACAATTTTCCCAGAGACATTGCGCTGAAAAGCATATACATGTAGTACGTACTGATTGACACAGTTGAGTGCTTCCCAGCAGCGCCTTTGATCCGTCCTGTAGCCCCTCGCGCTATTGTTACTGTGGAGAATCAGCACCGAGCGGTTCCCGCCTTGTGTGCAAAATATCGCGCTGCATGGTATTTCCACCACCCGGACTCCTCGTTTGTGTAACTGGGCGCGGGACCTACAAATTTGTTTCGTTTGTTGCAGCAAATGAAAGCTCCTAGGCCGCACCTACATAAGCCTAACACTTGTATCCCGAAATGTCCAGTATACTACATTATGGGAGAAAACTGAATATTTTCTGATGTAGATGGCGGTATAACTTTTTTGCATCCGGTCTATGTAATGTTCGGTTCTGCCTTAAACGGTTGTAGTTTGATGAGAACTGTTTATTCTGTACACTGTACGCAAGAAAAGATCATCACTTTGCTCAGGTTGGGCTCAAACCAGCAACATCTCAGACTCTTGCTGCAAAGTACGGGGTGAGTGCAGCATATTGAAATTAATGTATCCTTACCACTTTCAGGCAAAATAATTGTCGTAATGTTGGTGAATGGTTGGTCAAATACACAGTTGTAGACGCCAACCCTGGACTCAGATGTTCCTGCAGTCGATGACATGGTGTACCGTGCAGCGTATATGTTTTTGCTGGGTCTGTTGTCAACTGTGTAGGATCCTGTTGGTAGATTCTCTCCGCCGCCCGTGTCTAAAACACGCTCGAACGAGACCACTGCATCCTTATTACTTACACCTTTGTAACCGCCAAGAAAGTGACCATTCACCTCGACTGGGCTGACATTGTAACAGGTGAAATCGGGAAGTGCTCCTGTCGACACAATTATTTAGCATCAAAAGAACGTTTTCAAAGAAGTGGGAGGAATTCTAGACTGACCACCAAGGGAGACTTTTTTTTGCTGCTTAGCTTCGCTAGCATCACTGACCAGGACGGAGTGAGGAAGGGAGACATCTGGGAATGCACGTATATTTAAGTGGGACTGAAAGCCAATGATCATAGGTCTCTGTATCATTTTTAGCGTTCTGAAATTTCCAACGAGGACACCATGCAGAGAGGCATGGACGTCCATAGGCAGCGCGTTGTGCACTCTGTACTTAAGCCAATGGCTGTGTACTAAATGATGACAATGCAGATTTCTGCAGCAGTATCCCCCAACGAATAGTAAAGAATGCACTAGTTTCAAAGACATTTAAAGCGTGATATTTCGTGAAATCTGTTTATCATCCCGATGTTACACATCTGAAGTCTGTTGGTACTCGTCTTGTTGTTTTGTTGTTTTGTTTTAATGGCACTTTCAGCAACTCAGGCTATTTGCGCCAATAACTGTACGTTTATTCATACACTTTATTAATCAGCATCACATTACGGAAGCTCGTCAAAGACATACAAAAGATGTACGTCAGTATCGTGACCAGCCCTCCTCCTTCCCCTTTCCCGTCCCCCTGCTTTTCTAATTCCCACTGTGAGACAGATCGCCGATTTTGGTAGTCGAGTTCACCGTGCTGCATGAAACTGACTCCTGATCTAAATTTTAGGTCGGCTTTTCGGAGTTTCAGCCGTCCAATAGCTAGCGCCACAAAAAGAATGGCCTAAAACATAAATGGAAACATTTCCCAATCTGCAGCACGCAGCTATGTCTTCACACTCGGTTGATTTTCAGATGCAACGCTTTGAGGCTTGACACTGCTTTAAAGCCTAAATGATTCGATGCACAATTCCTCGTAGCACGTTGGATTTGAGAAATCAGTTGTCCCATTCGACTTATTACAGTACATGATATGTTTACAGACTACACCTTAAAGGACCACACAATGCACTTTTCTTAGACTTACATTTTTGTGCATCTTTACACTCTTCTTCAGTCTATGAACACTCTTTGACATTCTTTGGAATTGAATAGACTTACAGTGCACTTTTTTAACATTAAATATTGTCCAAACTTTTCTGGACAAGTGACGGCGCTGTTGCTCTGACGTAAATCAGGGAAGACAGCTCAGTTTGCGTTTTCATGTTCAAATTTTGAACCCCCATATTTGCTCTTTCAAAACTTTTTTTTAGAAAATGTTGCTCGCTGACTCATTTCTATATATGTACACAACAATAAATTGCCGAAGAATTGGAAATTTACTACAGCAAAAAAAACCGGTTTTTTTCCTGTGCACAAATTAATACAACACTGAAGTTCAGTGCCTGGAGTGACACCACAGTTTTGTTCATGAATATACAAGCAACATAAAAACTGAAAAAGCTCCAAAATACAGATTAAAATGGGAAAACAAAAGTTAAAATAAGGTTAATTGAACCACAAAGGTGCAGTTTCGATGGTTGTCGTAAAAACATTGTAACCTATTGCATGGTCCTTTTAATCTTAAAATAATTGAGAATTGTCTCACCAGACGTGAATGTAATGCTGAGTATAACACCAAATAATATTGGTCGGACATCCATGGCGTCTATACATTGAGCCCGTGCGCGACTGGGCTGTGGCTAGTTCTTGCTGTCTGCAGTGGGATTCCAATTGCTACCGTGGTCTGGCTCCAAGACACAAAATACAGGCGCGAATCAATATCATACAATGATTGCTGAAATTATGTATCCAACATTCCAGCCGCGCGGTGTTGACGATACCGCCGTCCGCAACCGAATCAAGACTGAATTTCTGCTAAACAAGTCACATCACGTGTAAACTCTGGATAGATATGGTGTACATTTGCCTGTCTTTCGTCAAAGAAAAGGGATACATAAGCCACGAAATCCTTAATGATAGATAGCAATTCTGAAGTAATTGAAACTTGCCTGCGATAAGAAATCAGATTAATCCGGTGTTTAAAACCAAACCCTAAAGGGCAAAGTACAACTCACGCATCTTTTATAGCCCTCAACATTATTACTCGTCTTGTTAGTTCCCCTTAAGCATCACACATACTAAACACTGCCATTGCAAAACAAAAAACAAAAAAGACCCATTTTCTTCGATGTGGGCACACAAAAACAAGTTTTTAGCCCCCTGGGATATGTTGTCCCAAATGGTGCAAGATATGGGGCGGAGAGAACCCCCCCCGCCTTTG